GGGGGGGGGGGGGGGATGTAGTTCACACATACTTTATACATGTGTAGTGGAGGGCATTTGCTCTCCATCCCCACCCACACATCTGGCACGGGGAGGGCACTGGCATGCTGCAGCTAGCGAGGGGCTCTCCACCTTGTCTGCAGGAGCACAGTTGCTCTCTGATTTACCACTGTTTATATTTGCCTTGTCCCAAAGACTTATAGTCAAGTAAAAATCACCTCATGGGGAACGAACAAGACACCAGCGGTGTCTGCCTGCACTGCAGCCCATGCTGGCAGGCACAAGCACCCATCCAGCTGCCAGCTTCAGGATGGCTGTGCTGGTTGTTCATGTGCTGCCTGACTACGGACCGTGCATTTTGCATGGGCTCATACCTGTGTTTAATTACATGAGATTGAACGACTCAGTCATCTAATGCTAATTGGGCTGCACCCCTGCAATCTGCTCTCACTGCAATGCAGACAGACCCCAGCAAACCCTGCCTCTGTGGCCAGGCAGCTTCCTGAGAGCAAAAGTGGAAGGGGGCAGATGCTGACCCCCAGCTCACGCCCAAATTCCACTTTCAAAATGGACTAGTCGGGTGCTCCCCTGTCAGGATTCCAGGGATGCACAGACATTGCAGCACTGTGCCCTAAATGCACAAAAGATGTCAGTAACGACAGCTGTGTATGTGCACTGGGGAAAAGTGATGATCTTGCCAAAGTTGGGACCATACAACGTGCTCCATCTGCAGTCCATCCTTTTTAACATCAGCAAACACAGTCAAAATTGGGCATGAAGATCCAGAACATTATGTGGTTTTAACTGCAAAGCCAGCCCGCTATCAAAACCAGGGACCATTGCAGTGGCACCAGATATATTTGTTTCTTTTAAATGTGTGAGGTAACACTTGCATCTCAGCAGACAGATGCAATACTTTCCCTGCATCCTACCTCCCACAGGAGTGGTAGCACTGCCTCAGACATGGGTTGAAACAACAGCTGGAAGGGGCAGCCCAGCGACAGGGAGAAGCAGCAATTCTCCCATAGCCTGCTGGGGCTGGCCCGGCACAGCAGGCAGCCACACCACCCTGCCTGGCTTACAGACCCTCCAGCCCCTGCAAGAGCATCCCTCACCCTGGGGCACAAACCAGGACCTAGCAGTCACAGCAGGTTGTGTCTGGGCAGAATAGCAATTGCTGGCTGTGGCACCATACCAATTATCTGACTGGCTGCATCTTCTTTTATTTTTAGCCACAAGATAAAATATTTGGTTTAAAAAACCCTTTCCAACACCCTCTTGGGAGGCCCAGTTCCCCAGTGGGTATGGTCCTGGTGTGCTGGCTTCTGGGACTCTTGCAAGAGTCCTTGCTGAAGGACATGGTTGGGGAACACCCCTTGCTGGTAGACATGGTTGAGAAGGGAAAATGTGGTGTGTGCAGGGGCCAGGTTCTTTAGGATCTGGAATAATACCTCCTTCTTTTATTTCCTCTGCTTTCCTGTCTGGTTTTCGGTGTCCTGCACAGAGATCCCTGCCGCTCCCCCCACCACCGCTGCCAGCAGCACAGAGGAGCCTGCAGGTATGTTGTCTCTTCTTTTAAAGCATCTTCATGGTAAATGTCTTTTGACCAGTCATCTGCCTGAGATGAAATTGCATTAAATTAATATATAATTTCTGTTGTTTGTACTGGGACAAGTGGTTTCCTTTCATGCCCAAAATGTTCAAGTATTTGAAACAAGTGTGCAGCATCCCAAGAAATGGGTGTTTCTAGGAGCATGTGGGAGTGTAAAGAAGATGCAGAAAGATTTTCCTAGAGGTGCTAAATCTATAAGCCCACAGGGGTTACCCAATGTGGAACCAATGCTTGATGGAAAAGAGGTAAGGACCCAAGACCACCACTGGCTGATTATTGAAGTTTAATGGTTACCTTCTCAAGAGGCTAAGAGAACTGTTCTGCCACGTTTTTCTGGTGAAGGACTGGAGAACCAGAAACACTCTAAAAGAGAACAACAAAGTGTTGCTTAGTGCTGCATATGAGCATTTCCTTTATTTGCCTAGATCTGTGTGTTTCTTGTGCTAAACAGTCTTAGGAGCTGCTGTGACCTGTGCGTGTTACAGCACCATGTCTCGTGTCCAGCTCTGCAGGTCCTTGGGTGGGACACAGCTGTGGTTAGTGGCATTGGTGGGGCCAGTTGTGCTCAGAGGTGTCTCAAGGCCAGTGACTGTAAGAGCAGGGGAAGCATCTTAGCTTGGAGCGGGAGGTCCTGCAGCTGCGGGTCCTGCAGTGAAAGGTCCTGCAGTAGCGGCTGTAGCCTGGGGACAGCAGCACAGCCCTGATGGACTTGGATCACCACATTTATGCCAACTGCAGTACAGAGGATCGTCCTTAGAAAGCTTTGGCACGTTACGGTGCGTGTATACTCCCGTTTCCCCCATCTTGTCCTTGAGTCAAACACGATCCGTGCAATACCTACCCAGGGGCCAACACATATCTTCATACACCCCATCTCCACCACCACATCTGCGCCAACACCCCGCCATGCTCCCCTCATGATTTACACCCATAGAGAGGTGGACATCTGCCCTGTCATTTCACTGAGGGACTTTCCTGTCCCCAGTTCCCTTGGGTTGGAGAGGTCTGAGCAGCGGAGGATGGCAGGAGCCAGAGGGCCCTGAGAAAGGGTGACTTATCCCCTTCTGCTGCCTGCAGATTCCCAGGGTATTTGAACAGTGCCGCGGCTGTGAAGCACACGAGGTGTAAAGGCTGTTTACTTTTGTCTCACCCGTGTAGGAGGGTTCATAAATTAAGGATTTTGTACTAAAAGTGATGGACGTTACCTTGAATTGAACTCTGAGCCAAGGCTCATCGCATGGCAGAGCTTTTCACACAGGCTGAGCCTGTTTGCTGTATGCTCAGGAGCACTGCCCGGGATGGGAAACCCAGGGACAAAGGGTCAAGGTCTTCAGTCTCCAGTGTCATAGGAAGATAAAACCCAGGGTTTTCTGTAGGACTGATTTAAAGGACAAGTTCTGCCACCTGTAAACACAGTAGCAGCAGGTTGTGTTTCAGTGTCTTCCCTTAGGTTGGTAAGAGCAATAACTTGCAACCTTGGCTTTGTGCTTATCATTTCACATGTGTGTCTTAAAGTGCCTCCACTGACATGCAGGGCTGAAAGGAGCATGAAGACACACCAAAAAGCTGCTGCAGCCAGCGTGCTTCCAGCTCAGGTGCTGGTGATCAGCTCTTTTGCTGCTTTGCCTTATAAATTCGGTACCAAGATGGGATGTGTAGTTGGGTGAGTCCATCACAGTGAGGTATTTGGCTGTTAGGAACAGAGACTGTCCCACCTAACCTGAAGCCCACCAGGGGCAGGTCTTCTCTTCCTTACAACACTATTTCCTGACAATACCAGCCTCTGTTACCTGCTTCCGTTAGAAGAAATCTTTTTCCCTAACTCCTCAGGGGCTAATTACATGCCATAGTGCATCTCACCATCTTTCAGCCACAGAGAGCTCGTCCCTAAAGCCCTCACTGAACGTCCCATCTTGCCCTGGCTGTAAGGGGATGTCCCCACCTTGGCCAAGACACTGGTCAGGCACACCCCGAGTTTTCTCATGATCATTGTCAGAGCTGGCAGCTCCTGCAGCCTCTGCAGCTCTTTCATTGATCCCAACACCACAGCTCAGTGCAATGTGTAAGTGCATCCCAGCAGTGCCAGCTAAACGTGCTGGATGCACGAGCAGAGCGGGCTTCCTGCTCCCCATCTCGCTCTGTCAGAGGTAAATTTATGTCTGCAACTCCCTGCTTCACCCCTTGCTATAAAAGAAGCCCATGGCCTAGCCGAGACTTTTAGTTGGTTTTTCCCATCCACAGGGACTGTGCTGCTGATAGATGGAAGATTTATAGGCAGATAGAGTGTATCAGTTAGTGGTTTAAAGATCTGTGGGACCTCCAGAAAAACGTGCCTGCTGCACTGCAGGAGAGGCTCAATCCCAGCTGGTCCCCTCTGCAGCAGAAGGTGGATGACAGCAGAGCAGGATCTGAAGGGTTTGCCTGGATCCTACTGGGGTGAGCTCTGCTCCACAGTGTCATAACATTAAATTAAGCATCTTCACCTGCCTGATTTACTGACACATCTTTGGGGATGGGGCCTTTGGCACTTGGCATCACAATTTCCAAACTGGGCATGTTGAGTGGGGAGTCGAGCGCTACTCAGCCCTGCAACCCTGTGAGGCAGTGCTTTCACCCTCCGTCAGGTAATAGTAAACCCAAGCAATGTTTAAATACAAAAAGCTCAAGAGATTAAACACCAGATTTCTCACGGGCTCCTGCTATTTAGCAGAGACTTGCAGACTAAATATTCTGTCTCATGGCCTGGGAGCACTGAGATTTTGTGCTCCACACCAGGATTTGTCTGTTCCTCCCCCCACAGCCTCCCAAACTTGCTCTGTTCCTAGTATGCTGCAGGGATGGCAGAGCAGACATCTTGCACCACGGTAACACCAGGCTTATCACAGGCTCTGCCAATGAACGTGAAGGTTTGGCAGCCAAGGAGATGCAAAGATGTCTTCTCACAGCCCTTTCTGCAAGGAGCTTGGCTCCTGAGATGAAGCCCTGTGTGTGGAGCTATAGCACCTCCTTACTGGGATCTCCTGGCACCATTGCTGTCCCAGGGAGCAGAAGCAGCCTGGCACTCACGCTGGAAACCTCCCAGCTAGAACCTCATCCTTGCTGGAGCCTCCTTTCCTTGGGTTCCTCGCTTCCAGGAGCCAGGATACATCCCACCCTGTGCAGCAGCCCCAGCCCCTTCCTAAGGCAGGACCAGGCGTATGCCAGCCCCTACCTGCTCGAGATCAGGTTTCAGGGCACAGGTGCATTTCTGAGTGAGTGGACGATTGCTTTGCCCATCGCTGTGGTGGGAAGCGTCCCCGGGGTCAGTTCTGCATGCAGCTTGCCCTGCTAAGCCAGCCTTGGAGCCGGTGACACTTGAGCAGTGTGCCTGAGTTTGAACTGGCCACAGGGATCTCTCAATGTCTTTTTGCTGCTGTTAGGAGCTCATTTATCTGGGTACATTTCTATTCATGAGTCCAAAGAGGCCTTTCTGAGGACATTGTCTATTATTCATAGTCTTTCCCTGCCAGTCCCCATGTCCTCTCGCATCTTGCCAGAGCGTGACCATGAGAGGGGCTGAATGTAGGCAAGGGCTTGGAGGAAGCAGCGTTTATCCACATCCATCAGCCAACATCCCAGCTTGAAAGAAAGAGCTGCCAAAGCCCCAGCCCCGCTGTCCCCCATGTGTGAGGACTGGTTTGGGGGTGACACATCCCCCACTTCCATGCAGTGTGCTCCATGTGGATACTAACACAGCTGGGGAAACAGCTCTGTTCTGTGAACTTCCCACACCGTCCTGGGCAAATGCCAACTGGGGCAGCTGCATTCGGCCATCCCAAATTCCACTTGCCACCTCGATTGGCCACAGCCCTCGTCAGCGCCTGCCCTGAGCTGATGCGCTGTGGCAGTGTGACCCGCAGCAGCCCTGGGCTGCGTGTCACGGCCACCAGCTCGGCACCAGGCACTGTGCCACGGGGCTGGGCCCTGTGCCCCTGCGGCCCCTCAGCTTGCCAGTGAGCAGGGCCAGGGTGAGCAAGGCAAAAGCTTAGAGCCTGCAGCCAAAGGACCCTTGAGCAGGACCAGGGGGTGCACATCCCATTTTAAACACTGAATGTGGACGCTTTGGTGAAGAGCAGGTCCCTGTGCAGCCAGTGGGCAGAGCCTGGTGGTCCCTGCCACCCCTGCACCTCCCTGGGTGAGTACTGACCAGGACGGCTGTAGAAGTCAGAGGCGTGTCAGTCAGGACATATTGCTCACCTTTGACTAAGGCTTTGGGTAGGTGTGTGCAACATTCTCCAGCCTTGCTACAAAGGGACTATCTTGCCCTAGTGCTGCTGGCCAGGTTGCAGCTCCAAGTCCCAAGCCCTGGCAGATCCTGGCAGCAAACGGCCCCATCAGCAAAGGAGCAAATCCCATAACTCTGCATCCTTGTTGTGGAGAGAAGGTTATTTAGGGATCTGCCCAAGTTTCCATAAAGCCAGTAATTGAGAACATGTCAGCAGGTTTAGAGACCTCCTCTCAGCAAAAGAACCCCTTGCTGGAGGCTGGGAGAGAGTTATCTGCAAGCTGGGAGCGAGTCAGGCATCCTGACAGCCTCCAAGCCATGAGAAATGACTTCTTGTGTCTCTTGGATCCCCGTGTCCCTGGAGGGCCAGATGTCCCCACTCCCTGCTTGGAGGGGCGACCAGGGACCAATCCATCTCACCAGGAACTGATCAAGCCATCTCCTCGTGAAAGCCCAGCAGAGGCTGGGCTAAGCAGAGTAATCTGATGGGCCCAGCATCCGATCATAATTCTTCTCACAGTGATTTTTATTAGACTTTTTTAGCACCGCTTTGTCCAGGGATCCTGAACCCTCCATATTTTATCCCTTCCCCTCAGCAGGGAGCATCAGGAGGTCCTGGGTCTTGGCATTGCTCGGCCACCACCACCACCCTGAAGCATCCTGCTGAAATTTGTGGTGTTTT